AGTAAACGCATATTCATTCATACAATAAACGCCATTGCAAAAACCAATCCCAACCACAAAAAACTTCAGTCAAGACCAGACTTATCCATACTGCAAAGAATCTGCTCCTGTGAACTCTGCGCAGAACTCAAAAACTGTCTAGACAATGGAGAAAAAGACCTATACATTGACTACCATGCTGATTGCATCAAAAGAAAGTCACACAACCCACAACTCTGCATCCAATCCAACATCACTCAAAACTAGGCACACACACCCCTAACTACCTCTATTCCAACCACAACTGGCCTTAAATGCAAATTACTCAATGCAAGAAGCCTTGTAAATAAAATACCTGAATTTCTCCTCTTACTAAATATGGCTAAATTCGACATTATATTTGTCTGTGAAACATGGCTCAACGCATCTCTCCCTGACTCCATTACCACAGTAAGAGGCTATCATGTTTACCAATCAGATCGTGAAATCCGTAGAGGAGGTAGTATTGCTATCTTCTATAAAAAGTCCCTACATCTAAAAAACATCCAAGTTACCCAGGAGCTTGCTATTCCTGAGACCATTGTCTGTAAACTGTCCTTAAATATCACATTTCAGTTCTTACTATGTTACAAAGCCCCTGATTATGATATCGAACAGGCAAACAAGCTAAATACACAACTAACATAGGCAGCATCCTGCCCACACGCTTTTATCTTTCTTGGTGACTTCAATCTACCTCATATTAACTGGGCCCTTAATGAATGTACAACTGAACCCACACTTGTAACCTTCTACAATGCAGTAAGAAATCTGGGACTGGAACAACTAGTAACCAACAACACTAGACTTAACAACTGCCTCGATCTCATCTTCTGCAATAGTTTGAATTCAGCTTACAGAATAAAAATTAAAGAACCCTTTTCCAACAGTGACCACAACATGATTGACTTTTGTCTCAACATACGTCCACACAAAAATCATCACAATGACGGAATCCCCAATTATAACTTCAAAAAAGGCAACTATGATCTTATAAACCACAATCTCTCATCCCTTCATTGGCAATTTCTATTCACTGGATGCAATACTGTTGAAGACTATTACAACATATTTTTACTTGAAGTCAAAAGAGTCATCAAACTTTATGTACCAATAACAACTCCCAAAACCAGAAAAAACAGATTACCCATAACAATAAGGAAGCTTCAATCCAAAAAGAGATCACTTTGGCGAAAAAACAAATCTGGTCACATTGCCAACTTCAAAAGCCGATACAAAAATTTATGCCACCAGATAAAGACTGAATGCACCAATTATCACATTAAACAAGAAGAAAACCTTCTATGCACCAAGTCCACCCGCGCTTTCTACAATTTTGTAAACAACAAACAACAATCAATTTTACAGAAGCACTATGCAATCTAAAACCATCTCTATCTATTGGACCGGACGTAATATGTGCCTACTTCTTAAAAAAGCTATCCACTGCCATAGCCGAACCTCTAAGCATAATCTTGAAAAATCTTTCAGGACCAGCTCCTTGCCAAAACTATGATCACAAGCCATGGTCATCCCTATCTTCAAAGAGGGAGACCCCAGCTTAGTTGAAAATTACAGACCAATCACTTTATGCTGCATCACCTGTACAGTCATGGAATCAATTATTAACCAATCCATCATCCTTCACTTAGAGACAACAACCTACTCTCTAATAAACAATTTGGTTTCAGAAAAAAACTATCCTGTAATCTGCAACTCTTACATTGCAAAAACATATGGACTACACAACTCGATCACGGCAAAGCAATAGACACAATCTACATAGACTTCTGTAAAGCCTTTGATTCAGTGGTACACGACAAACTACTCCTAAAACTAAAAATCTTATGGTATCTCTGGACACCTGCATAACTGGATAGAAGCATTCCTGTGAAACAGACAACAAATGGTCAACATTGGGAGCATCCTATCAAATTCTGTACCTGTCAACAGTGGTGTCCCCCAAGGCAGTATTCTAAGATCAACCCACTTCATACTCTACATAAATGACCTCTGTGATCATATTAAGAGCAACTGCGTTCTCTTCGCTGATGATGTAAAGCTATTCAACACCACAGACAATACTGCTACCCTTCAAAAAGACCTTGACTATGTATCAGAATGGTCAAACAAATGGCAACTGCAAATCTCAACAAATACATGCTCTGACCTACATATTGGCAAAAAAAAATCAGAAAATAAAATACAGGCTGAATAGTCAAGACCTTGTTGATATCAGATCCAAACTCTGTCAAGGATCTTGGAGTACTCATCTCAAATGACCTAAGTGCTAGAGCCCACTGTAACTACATAGCCAAAAAGGTGTTAAGAGTTGTTAACCTAATCTTACATAGCTTTTTCTCTGGTAATATTACACTACTAACTAGAGCATATAAAACATTTGCTAGACCAATACTCGAATACCCACATTACTTATCTGATATTAACACAGTTGAGAAAGTCAAGAAATATTTCACAAAAAGAGTTCTCCACTCCTCTACTCATTGCAGAATACCTTATGCCACCAGACTTGAAATTCTAGACCTAGAAAACCTAGAACCTTCAGTCTGATCTAAATATAGTATATAAAATCATACATTGCAATGTCCTACCTGTCAATGAATACTTTAGCTTCAACCATAACAACACAAGAGCAAACAATAGATACAAACTCAAGGTTAATCGCACCAAACTTGATTGCAGGAAATACTACTTCAGCAACAGTGATCAATATCTGGAATACTCTACCTGACTCTATGGTTTCTTCCCCCAACCCCCAAAACTTTGGGGGTGTGCATAAGTGCACCAACATGCCTACTGTCCCTGTCCTATTGTTTTTTGTTTTGTTTTTCTTATATGTATCCATGTATTTATAACTATGTTTTTACTTATACCTATTATCTTGTAAGCAATTGACAAAAATAAATAAATAAAATAAATAAATAAATAAAAACTGTAGAAGTGGTATATAAGTCTAAGTGCTATTGCTATTAGCAATTGGATAATGAGCCATTTTTTTAATTTTTACTGTGGTTAATCTATTAATCTGGAGAGTGATGGAAAGGGAAATCACAGAAATCACAGCACTGACAGTAGACAATAAAATCAGATCAGGAACAAAGCAGAGAGAAACTTTGAATAAATTCACAACAATTCTTGAAATCACAAACCTCTCACATGGGGAAAATATTGCAGAATCGAAAGCTGGATTTTGATATTGCATTAACCTGTGGAGTTGGGGAATAGGCTTGGTATCCTCATCCATCTGCTGATTGTACTTAGAATTAAGATCACCCACAAATCATACACAAGTTCTCTTAATTAAGTATATGACACCTTGTTTTGTCTAAAATGTTGACAGCTGTAGGATTCATCTGCAAACAAAATCATTCTAAAGTGTGAAAAGTAGACTATAGCTGTAGAGTAAAAAGATGTACTAAAGAAGGTTATAGACATTGTTCCAATTCAATCAATCAGAATGGTGCTGGAAGGGACCTTGGAGGTCATCTAGTCCAGCCCCCTGCTCAAGCAGGAGACCTTATATGATTTCAGACAGATGGTTGTCCAATCTCTTCTTAAAAACCTCCAGTGATGAAGCACCCACAACTTCCGATTACAAGCTGTCCAATTGGTCTTATTGTCCCCACTGTTAGGAAGCTCCTCCTTATGTTACTGTATGTTCCTTATGTTAGGAAGGTCTCTTTATGGAATTAATCAGCTATATATATAATGGCTTTTCAAAGACATGTTGTAGACATCACTTTCCACCTGCTGTTGGCTAGAGCCCTACTCAGAGTTTGTGCCTAATCTAGAACTGTCTACCAGAGGACTGTATAAATGTTTCCTTCTGTATACACAGACAGTTCTTAATTAACCAGCTTGTTATGAAACCACTGTAAAACTCCAAACTTCAACATTGTGTAGGCAGAAGCCATCCAAAGCAGAAAAAAACAGACCTCTACCCTTTAAATAAATATCCCACTCAGCCAAGAAACATGAGCTCCTTCACTAAGCCCACATTACTTTAGATATTTTTGTTTGATTCTTCAATATTCCTTTAAATTACTGCTTGAAATTCAGTACTCTTTCCCCCCTTACCCTCACCCCTAAATATTTCTTGTCTAATGGATCCACCTGGTGCACAAGCACTATCTAAAGAGAGAAAAACTAGTTGAAAAAATGTTCCCCTTTTCCAAACGTCCTACAGGGTTAAGGATTGATGCAGATGTTTCAAGAAGCATTGTCTAAGCATTGATGCTTCTGGGGCATACAACAAATCTTTAATCTTTCTGGTTATAATTGTCATCACTGCAATGCACATAAAAGCCAACTCATCTTCTAAGGGCTGCAGCTGCAAGTTGCTCATCTTTTTGGCAAGATAACTTCAAATGGGTTGACCCTGCTTTTTTACCCATTTTACTTTTCAGAAAAATCTTCTTGGGGAAAAAAAAGGAAGAGTAAAAATCAAAATATCTTGGATAGAAATGGATGAGCTAATAGAAAAAGGAATTACTCTCTGGAGAAAGTTCTATCTATAGAGCCTGCATCAAATGAGACCAACATGACTTAAACCAGTTTGCAACCAATCTTTCTATGTTCATCCAAAATGATGTTCTCATTTGGTGGTATAGAGGTTAGAATGCGGTATTGCAGGCTAATTCTGCTGACTGCCAGGAGTTGGATTCTCATCAACTCGGAGTTGACAAAGCCTTCCATCCTTCTGAAGTTGGTAAAATGAAGACCCAGGTTATTGGGAGCAATATGCTGACACTGTGAACCACCCAAAGAATGTTGTCAAGTGGATATATAAGTCTAAGTGCTATTGCTATTGCTGGTTCCATGTTTGTAATCAGTTAGCATTTCATGGTGAAAGTTCCTGGCTGAGGTAAGGTTATCTCAAATACCAAAAGCAATGTGATTGTATGCAAGTGGATTCTTTTCTGGGTCAACTAAACAGTTTTCCTTTATGTTTGTCCATGCAGGTTGGGGGACACACCATGCTGCCCATCCGCTGGATGCCTCCTGAAAGCATTATGTACCGGAAGTTCACCACAGAGAGCGATGTCTGGAGCTTTGGAGTAATTCTCTGGGAGATCTTCACATATGGAAAACAGCCTTGGTTCCAGTTGTCAAATACAGAGGTATCGTGCATATAGATTTTGACCAAAAGAAACATTATCATGACCAACCCATACTATTTATGCCTTTTAGTTGATCAGCAGCCAAAGGAAGTCCACATTGTCCAATCTGATTGCAAATGGTTCTTTGGGATTTTAGGGGAAGTTGCCCTAAGAGCTGTGATGGCACAGAGATTAGAATGCAATATTATGGGCTAATTCTGCTGACTGTCAGCGGTTTGATCCTGACTGGCTCAAGATTGACTCAGTCTTCTATCCTTCTGAGGTCGGTAAAATGAAGACTCAGATTGTTGCAAGGAATATGCTGACTCTATAATTGTTTAGAGAGGGCTATAAAGTACTGTCAAGCAGTATATAAATCTAAGTGCTATTGCTATTGCTTCAATTCTCTCAAGTGACTACATTATTTTGAAAAATGAGAAATGGGCAGTTTGTTGGAAGAATATCCCCTATACCTGGGCTTAATTTTTATTTATTTATTTTATTTGTATCCTTTATTTTTTTTACAAATAATTCAAGATGGTGAACATATCCAACACACCTTCCTCCTCCTATTTTCCCTAGACTGAGAGAGTGTGACATACCCAAGGTCATCCATCTGGTTTTAAATGACTAAGGTGGGCCTTGAACTCATTAGTCTCTTGCTTTGTAGCCTGGTGCCTTACCCACTAGACCATACTGGATATCTTGCATTGAATGCATTGTATTTAATGTATTAAATGCATTAAATGCATTAAATACTTTGCATTCATACAATGTATTAAAGACATTATATTGTATCTAAAGTATGGTTCCCTCCAGTTATTTAAGATAGCCCTGCATCATCATTTAAAATACTACTACTACTACTACTACACATATATACACACACACAAATGTAGGGAATGGTAGAATGCCCATGAATACTGTGAGGTGAAAGAGAATGCATCCCCAAATTTAATAATACAGATCTCAAAAGATTCTGGAATCTATGTCTTTTGATAGAAGTCGACATGTTGAGTTTGTTTGTGCTAATTTCTGAATAGCACAGGAAAGATAAAAGATTTTAAACCCACAGTCCAGGTTAGATAAGGCACTTAAAATAAAATGGTCTAAAACAAATAGAAATTCTAGACTTCTGATGCAAGTAAGTTCCTATGTTTTTTTTTTCCCCAACATTCTACAAAAGTATAAGCAGATAAGCCTTTTGGCTTGTGCATAATGTTTTTGGGGAGGCCAAGGGTTACAATAAGTGAAATAAGGATGCAGCATGTAGGATTGACACTGAACATGTGGGAAGGGGCAGGATTCCTTGTTTTCTTTCCTTCTCTCTCTCTTTTTTTTAAAATTGGGAAAGACGCTATTTTGATTGATTTAATAATTACATTAAGCCTATTTTATGTTTACATTGAAAATGGTAGGAAACTGAAATTCATGGATTAGTTTGGAACGTTCCAGAAAAATAATGGTGGCTTTCAACTTATAGAACCCTGGGGAATTTCTGGGTTTGGTCTGTTGTGGTCAACTTCAAATGTTGGGAGTTGCCATTTTGTTTTAGATTGGAACCAAAAATGAAAACAAGAGAAAGACTGCACTGCTAGGACATGGCTTGAGTTGTGATATTGTGATAGCTTTAATTAAGGTTTACGGGAGAAAGAACAGCTGGAGTGTAAGACATAAAATCTGGCAACACCCACTGTACTGAACTATAATGTTTATTGTTTTCTTTACCAGTGGTAATTGAGGCTTAATGTAATACATGGGTTCTTTGAGGTTCCTTGGGGTATTCCTGATTTGATTTTTAATCCTAGGCTGCTAACCAAGGCATGCATGGGTAAGACAAAAACACAGGGGCAAATAAGCCAGAAATTACCCAGAAAGCCTTGATGATTGCTATCTTCTGCAAAAACAAAAAACCCCAGTGATTTAAATAAACCATGGCTTCATGCAGGAGCACTCATCTTTTTCTCCAAAACCAAAAGGCATTGTGCAATTATGGATTTTCCAAGATTGTTCAAGGAATTGTTGGCACAGATCATCCTTGATGACAGAAATCTAGAAATGTATTATTTAGATCAGGAGTCTCCAATCTTGGCAACCTTAAGGCTTGTGAACTTCAACTCCCAGAATTCTGGCAGTTGAAGTCCATAAGGTCTTAAAATATCAGACCTGCCAGCACGTAAACCTCTAAATAGAAATGATCCTTGCCTCCATTTGTTGAGAAAGATATAATTTTATTAGAAGACAAGTGTACCAAAGTGTACAAGACACATTAGAAGACAAGTGGATTAGAACCCGTAAGTTCAACTTTTCCCTCCCGTAATTGCCTCCCATCACTGATCCTTCCATGACCATTTGGGTTCAATAAGATGTTTTCAGAATGATCACTTCAAGCTTGGTTGGTATGCATCTGCATTCTTCTCCCAGCCAGGTGACCCTGAAGCATCATCTTGGGGAGATGCAAAAGTTACTTTCACTTTCCCCCAAGTATTCCCACTCCCGTCCACTGTCCCTAGAGTGGGACTCTAGACTATCACTGCATGGTAGCAAAGCAACTTTGCTTAAATGACATTTAAAGTTGCCAAGGTTGGAAATCTCTGTGTTTAGCTCATGCATATGGGAGAAGGAGATTGGTTTTAAAAAGTAACAGATCAGTAACTTTATAAAGGAGGCAATGCATAAAATTAACCCTCTATGTTTCCTATTGCAGGTCATTGAGTGCATCACCCAAGGCCGAGTCCTGGAGAGGCCCCGGGTTTGCCCCAAGGAAATTTATGATATCATGCTGGGATGCTGGCAGAGAGAACCTCAGCAGAGGCTGAACATTAAGGAAATCTACAAGCTCCTTCATGCTCTGGGCAAAGCTACTCCAATCTACTTAGACATCCTTGGCTAGCAGTGACCAAGCTTCAAAGTTGTTGCTGTGTCTTTTTTCTCCCCACCCTACCTCTCCCTTGACCTCAAGCCACATATTCATATAAACTCAAGTGCCTGCTATACATACAACACTGAAACGAACAAAACCGAAAGAGACAAGTTAAAGGGAAATATGGAAACCCTCAATCATATGTAAGGCAGTTGGGGCTATATACAGAGAGAAAGAGAGAGAGAGGGAGAGGGAGAGCTTTTGCTCCCGTAGCTGCTGCTATTAAAAATATAACATCCCAGAAGCAGAAGGAAAATGTGAGAGAGATTGAAAGATTTCTACAGTATTAAACAGAACACGAGGGGAAAAAAACAATATTTAACTTAAGATGTGGAACTGCAAATCCTACAGTGTCTTTTAGATTCTGGCTATTGGGTAGAGTTCGATTCATTTGGAAACATAGAACAACAACAACAAAAGAAAAGTTGACGAAAGCATGCCTAATTGGGCACCAAACTGGCAGTGGTCCTGTTATTCCAGGACGATTCTCCCCTGAAGTAACTTCCTTTTAAGAGATCTCATCTACCATCATAATGCCACCAACCCCACCTTGCCCTTCTGGCTTTAACAATTCTGGAACCTCTGTTGTCTCCAGAGTATCTCATTCTACTCCAAGGTTTCTCATTCCCTCCTATGTGTAAATGTTTCAGTTTTGGAATATATACCATTCAGAAAGTTCATTTCACCTACCGGTCAAATGAAGCATCAGAGGAACGTCCACTCAGCTGCACGGAAACAAGAATGGATCTAGCAATGTTTACCTGATTGTTTTCATATTTCCTTTCCTTTCCAAACGAGAGTCCTGGAAATGATCTCAAGGACCAAACAAATATCTGCAAACAGCCATACATGAAGAAAATTTAGGAAGTGGATATCCTGGAGACAAAATCCCAGCAATTTTCACTGGAATAATTCTAGATATGCAAAACACAGATACAGCTATTACAACAATTCCATTGACAACTATTGACCCAGCTGTCAATTTCAATGAAGTGGCTTGAAAGCCATGATCTCAGTGGAGATGGTCCCCCTATTTTTTTTTATATGTGTGTGTGTGTGTGTGTGTATGTACGTACATACATATGTATGTATGTATGTATGTATGTATTTTCGTGGTGATTTTTGCTACATTCCCCCCCTCCCCCCGCTTCTTGTAAAGAATATTTTACGGTTATGATCTCATCCAACTTCTCATCAATCTTGTTGTCGGGTAGGTAATCTGTCCCCATTCTGGACATGCTGGTGGTCTTAAAGGCAAGAAAAGAGAGAGGTATGTCTGAAGGCTCCACGGAAAGTTTATGATGAAGCACAAAGTAGAATCCAAATGTTCTCTGTTTACTTCCTCTATTATGACCTGGGTCTATCTGTATCTCTTACCACTTCAGTGAGGAATGGAAGTTCTCCATGATTGTAGCTTAGAATCCAGCTGAAATATTAACTGAAGGGGGCTGGGTCCCCTCTGATCAATCTATGATGATTCCTCCTACCCCACCCTCTACATGTTTCTCTCCCCCTCCCCCATCCTTTCTGCCTTGGCTTGCCAACTGATTTTTACCCAATAAACTTACCAAAAACGAAAACCCAGGGTTGGAATCTGTTCAGCAGCTAAAAAGGCATCAACAGCTGCAGCTCCCCTCTACCTCTTCCTTTCTTGATCAACATTCCTCTCACATTAGCAACCTCCTGAAAAGACTGGTGCATCTTCTCTCAAGACACTGTGAAATGGAGCTTCATAGTCAGCTTAGCAGGAAAGGTGGGGAAGAAGGTAAGGAAGCTGTAATGGACATTCTCGTAGCTCCACAAAAAACAAATTTGGAATGAAAGGAGAGAATAATAAAAGGGGACTCCTCGATCATGTTTGTGGAGGGGTTAGAAGCCAATGGAGAGTGTTCGAGTCATTGGTTTATGCAGTTGGAGATCCATGAAATATCTTTGATTTATTTTGCTCATGTCAAATTAGGAAGAGAGCATTTCTTCTCAATGGAATTTGGCTGTGGTCAAGCTAATGTCTTGAGATAAGTCCCCATACATGGACTAAAGGAACAGTGGGAGGTTCAGGTTATCAAGGGGACTTTTTTTTTTTGTCAGTCCACATTGCTAAGTGAAATGAATACACTTTGCACTTTCTGGATGATGGGGCAGAACAGAACACCACTATTCTGATTCTGCACTTCTCTGGAATTTGTGATGCTGTTCTTAACCCAAAACATGCGTGCAAAAGAAAAGGAAAGAAAAAGCATACATTGGGGGAAGATTGTGTACAAAAAAATATGTATATCAGGGAAATAAAGCATACAAAATGAATATACTAGGGAATTTGCATATAAAAATGAATGCCTTCTTGGTGGGGAGGAGGTTTACCTGCAGAAATGACATGAACTTCCGATGGAATGGATTTTCAAGGGAGTACCTGAAAAACGGGGGGGTGGGGGTGGGGGAACATCTGATCTTTACATTCCTGAATGAAATGTGTCCAAGAGAGAAAAGTACTGCCAGAAGAAACCTCTTCTCCAGACTTTTGATGGAGCTATCTGGGTAGATGACCCAATGTTTGTGCCTCAGTGAAGATATAGATGTGGCTGAAGCTTGCACTCATAGTGATATTGAATGTTTTTTTGTGAAATGAGAAGGTTCAGGGCAAAGAGAATGGAGGAGACCAATACAGAAACAGAGGCTTGTTGAGTTAGAACCAAGGACTGCAAAAGTTGGCTTAGGGTGGGCTCACCACAAGTTGCAGCACCTAATTCACTTGGCTGATCTCCAAAATGTTAAGCACATTTGGATTAGAATAGTAATCAAATGAGAGATCACCAGGAAATGTTAGGGGTGTATGTCCATGAAGTCACCAGGAACTGAGTTTAACCCTAGGGAGTCTTTACACTGAAGATATATGTACATATTTAACCATCTGTCCCTCACTCTAGAGACTCATAATCACTGCATATCTAAGAAGTGGTTTGAGGAAGTGAGATTTCTTAATTGCACTCTCACCAAAACACAGTTCTCAGGATTCTTTAGCAGAAGCTGCAATATTTTTTAAAGTCGTATTGAACTATCTAGGTTGGTAGCGAGTCAATGTTCTTAATAGATCTAATAGCTCTGACAGTCATGTTGAAGGCTTAGTCCCTCCTATGTTGTGCAAATTGAGAATGCGTTTGGATATGATTTGTTCCTGGACCAAAGGGGATTTAAATGATGAACCCCATTATGTAATTATTTTGGAAATTAAAGTTGCAAAAAGGTTGTGCACATCTGGGAGGAGACCAAGAAATCCTTGAGAGAAACAATGTGCAACCTTAATTTCTCTTCCTTGCAGATTGTTTTGTCTGCAATACCCATATGTTTGACCAGCTTTAATGAATGGAGTCATTGGCTGAATATGTGAAAAGCTTGAGTTTATGAAATATTCCAGGTCATCACTATTTTCCTCATCATCATGATCACCACAAATAGCACGACTACCACCATACTATCAATTTCCATAATATTATGCAGAAATTTAAACAGGCACAAATATCTAAGAATCCTGCATTCTCAAATTTGAGAAGAAAGAAAGAAAGAAATGAAGGAGAAGGAAGGAAGGAAGGAAGGAAGGAAGGAAGGAAGGAAGGAAGGAAGGAAGGAAGGAAGGAAGGAAGGAAGGGAGGGAGGAAGAAGAGGAGTAGGAGAAGAAGAAAAAGTAATAATGAATACATGGAGTTTGCATTCATTTAGCATTGTTATCAAAAATTGTATCAAATTGGGAGGCAATCGAGAATATGTTTAGACTTTACTCTTTGCTATGCTTTTATAAGAAGATCATTTTGTGGGCATCCAAAACAAAGATGTGCAATTTATGCAACCCATTGGACTTTAAATAAGTTCCTTGAGTCATTCTGTCTGACTTGTCTTGCTCTTTGGGAGATAGGAGGAAGTGACACATGGAGAAAGAACATCATCATATCTGGGAGGTAATATAGCCTTGGACTAAGTCATGTCTAGAGGAGGGGTGGGAAAAGAGTGAAGGATTTCCTTTTCTCCCAACTATTCCATTGATAGACAATACATTAAGGCTGAATTGAGCTCTCTCACTTTAAACTAAGGTCTACATTGAGAGAGAGAAAATTCTCATAGCTTGAAGAACCACTTGGAGCTGTAACCCATTCATTCTTTCATGAACATATTTATACACCTATGAACACATGCTTTTGAAGAAATGTTGTGGAATGTGATGAAGTCCCTCTTTGCCTCTAAGGTTCCTTATCACAATGTTCTTTCTTGGGTGCTATTAGTAGTGATGGAACTGTAACTTTGATAAAGAGTTACTGATGAGAGGGATAAAGTTAGAGCATCTCTCCTGGCACAGCCAGTCATCTTGATCAAGATTGCTGTTTCTTAGCAGCTAATGGCAGCGGGCAAAGAACAGTCTTGATAAAAAATTCATTGGGGAAAAGGACTGGGTTAAATGCCTCTTCTCTGCTTGCCCATCACCAATTATCTTTCCCTGAAAGGATGTTTTCTCACCATTAACAGTTTTGAGGAGGTTTGTTGCCTGCTCGATAGATAATTAGCTTTTTGGCAAGGAAAATGGGTGGGGCTCCCTAGTGTAGGGTTTGTGTGTGCATGCGTACATGCATGTGCACACTTTCCTGAAGTCACCCTCTCTACAAAACTTATACATTCCCCATCTGTTGTCCTCCTCTTTAAACAACAACAACTCAATTCCACTATTATGCCATTTGACATCACTTGTCTGGAGTTTTATTTCAAATTGGAACAGTCCATCTTCAAATATTTCTTGGGGTGTAAAGGTTATAATATGTGCAACGCATGAAATGAAAATGACAGCAACATATTTTGGATGTGTGGAAGGCAAAAGGCAGCGTTTTAAAAGTTCTGTTATTTAAAAAAAAAGAAGTGAAGCCAAATGGGAGGAAGGCCCATTCTATCTTAGGAGAAAAGGAGCTCCCAAGGTGGAAATTACCTTATATGGAGCTGATAGGACCACAAATAATAAAAGTAAACATAAATTCCTCCATGAGAGCTTCTTTTGAAGACGGAATTGTTAAGGACACAAATACCTAAGAATCCTGCATTCTCAAATTTGAGAAGAAGGAAATGAAGGAGAAGGAAGGAAGGGTGGGAGGAGGAGGAGGAGGAGGAGAAGAAGAAGAAGAAGAAGAAGAAGAAGAAGAAGAAGAAGAAGAAG